CATCGCTGCTCTGCAGTCCATAGTGAAAATACTGCATACTTTGTCTGTAAATAATTGAATCATGGATGTTTAAAGATAAATCCACCAACGTAGGATGGCTGCCAGAGATGTAATGTTGGCTTTTGTCATCCTTAATTATGACTCATTTGAGATCTAACAAAATGCAGTTTAACAAACTAGCAGTAGCATAGAAAGCTACTGTGGATTAGGCCTGCTTAATAGGTGGACTTTAATAGGACTGCTTAATAGGTGGGGTGCTATATAAGCACCAACAACACTCCCAAGTCCTCTGTAGGTTATAGCTGATATGCCAGGTGTATTTCAGAAGACAGAAGGGGCAGTATGGAGCTCTTGACTACAGTAGCTTGGTTGTTATTTGTACAATGCACTTGAAGTGAACCTCCAAAGAGATAAATATAGGAGCTCCCATTGCTTATTCGTTTTTTAAACTTGCAAGCTCCAGGGCTATCATACTAATCCTGGCTTCACTACCTAGTGATTCAGTGACCTGCAACAAGCTTGCAGATGAGAAGAACTAAGACAGCATATGTAGCACTGATATTTCTTACCCCAGAGTTCCACTTTAAGTGCATTATGCAAATAGCCACCAAGCTGGTGTGGTCAAAACTCTGGCCCATCCTTTCTGCTTTTTGTGTCTCCCTATTGATGCGTGAGCACCCACCATGGCAGTGACTAGCCAGTAGACATGTGCGATTCATTTTATTCCAAATCAAAATTCGTACGAATTTTCCAAAATTTGGACATTCGGACACGTACAAATTTCCGAATCCCAATGCATCTGAATGTGTCCGAATCCGAATTTCCATTTGCGAATTTCGGATCCCGTACAAATTTCGTTCAAAAACTAAACTGAATCTGACTTTTGCAACTTCGGGCATAGGGGCCGGGCCGAACACAATCAGCCTAATGTTCGGCCCGTCCTGGCCCCTATGCCGAAGCTGCTGGCCGCCAAAGGGTGCGGGGGAAGGGAGATGCCGGGAAAGTGCCCGGTATAGCCGATGGCTATACCGGGCCCTGCCAGACTGGCCATGTAACAAAACTATTCGCACTGACCGCCAATGTAACAAAAGCGTTCACAATGACCGCCAATGTAACAAACGCATACACCAAACACATGCTTAAACTTACCTTGTTCTTGCAGTCTTCAGGCAGTCAGGCAGTATTTTCTTCCTTAGCAGGGGTGGGGCGTCGGTATTGATTTGCATGTGAATTAGTTGCGATATTTACATATGAATGGCCCGCGGTTTATTGATATGCAAATCACCGCGGCCCATTCATATGTAAATATCTCGGCCGGGACAGGGGACAAGAACCGCACCAAGCTCCGGAGAGAGCACAGAGTAAAGACTAGAGAGAGCTGGGTGAGGAAATGTTTTTCTGGCCTCCCGCACCAGCTCCCTCTAGTGTCTACTGTGTAGTAGTGCCGGCTCTGCTCAGAGTCGGCAATCAGGCATAGCGCACCGGCCCGAATACAATCAGGTTGATTGTGTTCGGCCCGGCCCACCGGGCAAGTGCCCGGTTTGCCCTATGGCCAGTCCGGCCCTGTCAGGAGCTCGATCAAGAACCACAAAGAGGATGAATATTGACTTCAGTAGGACATCACTTCTCCCAGAAGGATCACTCCATCCAAAACCTCAATATTAAAGTACTAAAAGGGAATTTTAAAAACTCCCATGAAAGGAAAACATTTGAGATGAAAATGATTTTACATTTCAACGCCATAAAGGAGGGACTTAATGTGGATTCTGGTTTTCTGACATACTACCAGAACTTTTTATGAATTATATATATACATATAATACTAAAGCTGAGGCTCCCAGACCCATATTGCTTTCTGGAGCTCCCGAATGGTATTCGGAAATTCGGATACCGAATGCCATTTGGGTCTAGGAGCATCAGCTTTAGTATTAACCACACAAAGACTAGGGTGTTAGACCCCCTTCCTGTCCAGGCCATTTTTCAGTATTCAGCGCTGCGGTACTTTGACTGATGTTTATTCCGTCATACAACGCTGTACTGAAACGAATTTTATACCATTTTTTGGGGACAGATAGAGCTTTCTTTTGGTGGTATTTAATCATAACTGGGGCTTTTATTTTCTTACTATATAACAAAAAATTACCCTAAATTTTGAAATTCCCTATGAAATGTTATGAAACATTTATTATCACCCAATTTTTGGTAAAATATAAAAGACAGGGTCTCGTTGGATAAATAGACACCAAACATGTCAAGCCTTAAAATTGCATGCGCCCGCAAAATCGCAGAAAACGAACACAGCCAAAACTGGCCATAGGGGATGCTTTAAAAGCTTATACCGCTCATCAGATTAGTGTTATCAGTAATTAATGGCCCTAAAATTATTGCTCTCACTTCGAGGTTTGCGGCGATATGTAACATGTGCGGCACAATATGCGGAATAATCGTTTTCACATGTAGGCGCACCCGACGCATGTTTGCGTGTGTATGTGGGGCTGCGGGGGACTTTAAAAACATTTTTGTGTTATTTTACATTTTTTTTTATTTGTGACTATTTTTTTAAGCTTCTTTATTTTTTTATGCTTTAATTTTTTTTTAAACTTAATTTTTTTTTACACTTAACTTTATTGGTATCACATAGGGGGCTAAGAAACATGACAGGTTCTCTTTATGGAAACATCAGGGGTCACCTAGGGACCCCCAGAGAAGCTGATGAATAAGGGATCTGCTTCAGCAGCTTCTCACCCGCATCTGTTGCCGGAGAGTGACACTAAATGCGGAAGTGATGTAATATACATCACTTCCTGCATTGAGGTACTGGAGAGGAGATCAAAGGGAGATCATGTACTGAACCCCCTTTGATCTCCACTGACAGAGTCGATGTGCCGGTCCCAGCCGCACCGGGCACAGCAGATCTCTGGACCGGCAGCGGCGGTGATGGAGGCGGCAGTGAGTGAAATTTGTCAGTGCTATGAGCACTATGGGCATCTTCAATAAGTAAGTTTACAAACTTCTAGATCGATATGGTTATTAGGAGTGGGATGGAAGTGATGGAAATGCAATAAAGATATAAATATTTATTTTTTGACCACAGATACTCTTTAAACTCATGTTAATTTGGTTTCTTCTTCTTTTACAGTTACACTAACAAACAATTTTTAGGGAAATCTACAGATTGGACTGAATATGCTGTTTTGCTGCTTTCTATATTGAAAGCTAGAAATGCAAAATGGGGCTTTTCCAGTACTGTGACTCAGAGCTGCAATCCCCACTAGGACCAGCTTCTCAGTCCTGCACTGTGAGTGGGCACTGTGTTCATTGTGTAAGGTAACACTATATGAAAGCAAAGGGGATCCCTGCTGTATGAATCTACCAACCCCTGTAGGTAGTTAGTAGAGCATAATAAACAAAAATGAGGATATGATGCTTTCATGATCATTTTCTGGTTAATCTTCCACTGTGACTCATACATTCTAGAAGTCAGTAATTTCCCTAAGGTGAAACTGATAGACAAGCACTGCAGAGTAAGAGAGAAAACAAGAGCAATGGCTTTCTGTACTGTTAAAGGTTAAAGAGAAACCCTATGCATGTGTTTGAGCCATAAACATATATGTATTACATATTATTTTCCTTCAGGTTTTGTAAGAGCTTTTGAAGTATTACCTAAGATACCGGGGAAATGATTTTTATTATTACCATGAATGAGAACTTTAGATACAATATATATACTGCAGAAAATATTATTGCACAGCTAAGTAAAAGATAACTTTCACACTCATTAAAGCCCAGCTCCAGCATGAAAAATAAGCCTGTCTGGAGTACTCAACCTATTTTCTATTTTATTCAACCAGACTCCAGGGTTCCTGGATTAACTGCAAATATCTGCACTTCAGTGTGGTTTAAAAAAGTTTAGCTTTAAAAGACTTTAGACTTCGAAAAGGAGATCACCGACATCAGCATTTGCATTTCTTTCAGTAGAGGTTTGAGGTAAGTTAAAGTGACACTAAACTTAAAATGAATCTTAAAAATGTCTTCAAGTACCTTAACTATTAACAATAATGCAGCTTACTTGTGCATTACTCAACTGTGAATCCTCAAATCATCTCTGAGTTGGTGCTGACACTGTCCTTCCTTCTGGAGGCTGGCTACTTTTGTTCTCCATGGTCCCTGTGTGTGTTATAAAGTAGACACCACTCCAAGCTCAGCTACACAATGTTTGGAGATAGCCTGCCACCCCCTTTCCGGCCAGAGTGTCACAGGTTGCTAAGAGCCGGGCAGGGAGATGTGTAAGAGCCATACACATCTCCACAGCTAACCAGGGACACTGATCTCCAGATAGCAAACTCTCCCGGGCGCTCCGGGAGTCTCCCGCTCCCGGCCACCAAGGAGAGAAACACTGCTTTTTCTTTTTTTTTTCTTTATTCTGACACGGAGCCGTGTCAGAATAGAAAAAAAAAAACTTTTTGGCCATAAGAATGCATTGCTAGATTCCTATTGGCTATTTCAAAAATTTTTCTGTTCTGCTCGGTACCACAGAGGGACCGAGCAGAATGCCGGCTAATTACTCACTGCTGTTCGGCATCTATAAGAATAGACCGAACAGCAGCAAGTAGCCTGCCGGAGGTCCGGCTTAGATGGTCCAGCTTAGTCCAGATGTTGGTTCGGCTGAGTCGAACTCCTTCTGCACTTCGGCCGACCCGAAGCCACCCGATGTAAGGGTGATTTCAGCCGATATACGGCTGAGATCAGCTGTACCAGCCTGAAGTGAATAGCCGAACAGCTGAATAGCCGGCAGCTTAGTGAATAGACCTCTGAGTCTCTCATTGCTTCTTAACTGTTGGAGGCAATCTTGTGAAGCCTGAGATTGGAGCAGGCAAGCATCTGTTGTGCTTTTTTGAGACTGATTGCAAACTCATTGGAAGGTAAAGATTTTAAGCAGTCATCCACATAAAAGTCTTTTTCTATTAATTGTCTAGCATCTGAGCCATACTCAGACTCACCTTCTTGAGCAAAACATCTAAGTCCATAGATAGCAACTGCAGGAGAAGGGCTGTTGCCAAACATGTATACCCTCATGCGGTACTCTATGATGTCTGAACCAGAGAAGTTTCTCTCTGACAAGAAAGCAATGAAACATCTGCTGGATAAAATGTCCCCAGATTTTGTTTTAAAATTTTCTTCCTTGGCCTGGTGGTCAGTGGGGGGCTCCACGGACTCTGGTTGTGGCGGGGGTCTGCTGTGGT